GCTAACAGGAACTAAGGAGAGCCACTCTTTGCAGAGGTAAGTGACCAGGCTTGCTATGCTCTCCTCGGGCACCTGCAATGCACTTCTACTCAGACAGGGAGTGCTTGCCTCTCCAGGGAGGAACCCAGGCTGGCTGGTCCCATGAAGAGGGTGTCCAATCTCCCTCCTCCCTCTGCTCAGGGTGCCTTTTCTAGTTCCTCTTCTATGTGGGGATTGGGAAGCTCTGAACCCTGACTTCCCTTCCTCACCTACTAACACTCTCTGCTAAACCCCCAAGTGCCTTCAACACTTTTGTTTCTGCCTAAAAATGAATGGAATCAATTTCCAATTTGCGGGGGACCATGGATGCTAACGTTGGAAGGAGAGCTAAGAGATCCAACCTCCCACTCAATTATGAAGGGGTCTTGAACTGGCTTCCTGTGTCAGCTCTCCAGCTCTACTTAACCACTAGCAAACCCTGCTTCCTGCCACACCACGCAAGGCGTTTCTAGGAGTTTGGATAGAAAGTAAACCAGAGGGTGTCAGTGTTTCATTTTCCCAAATAATGACATTAAAAAATTAACAGTTGGGAGGAATCTACTATCTATAATCTACAATGACCATAACTTCCTAAAAGAAAGGATATGTTACAAATAAATTTTCAAAAAGCTGTACTATCAGAATAAAAGGCAGGCCTTTAACCTGGATAAATGTTTGCTTTCTTTTTTAAAATCTCTCCATTTGTTCTCATTCCATGAAGACCTGTGAGCAGTTGAGAAGACTCTCACAGGCTGGAGTCTGGTAACAATGGCCTGTAAAGCAGGGGTTATTTTTCCCTAAAGCTGTGGACCCCTGAGCAGCTTACTCAGTGCCCCCAGGCCGAGCCCACTGACCACTGCATACAAACAAGGCCCTGGGGGCGAAGCACTGTGCCATTCTGACTGTGCCCCTGACATAATTTAGGATCCAATGCAGTCACAGACACGATCAGCAAAAAGTCCTGAGCAAAGATATAACTATTGCGATAGTAAACTTCTCCCCACGTTCTAGAAAATGCATATTGACTGGGCAAGAGTCCAAAATGTACTATGAAGTATACATATGGCCTATTAAAATTAACATGTACCATATCTTGACTTTGACTCACTTGAATCTAAAATACTACGTTGAAAACAAAATAATAATAAATAATAAAATAAAATGCTACGTCGAGCTGGTGTGTATTAACTAAATAGTAGAACTGTACAGTGGAGGACATACCAAGCCAGGAGGCAGGAGGCAGGAGGCAGGAGACAGGAGGCAGGGGCTAGCCCTGCACATGCCACTAAGTGCGTCTATAGCCTTAGGCAAGTTTAATCTTTCTGTGTTCAGTTCCATTAAAATGATCTCTTAGGGCCAGTTCAACTTGAAAACTCTTACACGTGCAATAGCATGTCATCTCTCTGAGAATGTATAAGACCTCAGGGAATGAGAAGGACGGTGCACATCTTCTAAAAAGCTGATCACTAGATTATTCTCTAAAACATAAGGATCCACATTAAGGTTCAGCTCTGAACCACAGAGCTGCAGGGTACAACCTAATCAGTCCCGAAATCCACACATGTTGACTTAAGAATCCACTCTGGGCAAATGAATGAACGTGAACACTCTCCAGGCCCGTCCTCCTAGAGTTGCACCACGTCCCGCCATTGGTGGGTAAGAACCACCAATTACTGTCACCTGCGTTATCACTTAAACCTGGACACAATCCCGCAATGCTGGCATTATTACTTTTTTAAGATGAATACAAAAACTGAGGCTCAGACTAGTTAAGCACAGTCCAGGTCACAGCATGAGGGCTGGGATTCAGACAGAGGCTTCTCCCTGCTAAAGCCCATGTACTTGTCCCCGTGGAGGCCATGTTGCAACCCTCACACCTTTGACACCTGGATCCCTGGATCCACCAGTGGTCATTGACCTTGGGATTCTGTTAGAACCTGGTACAAACTAAGAAAGGAAGGAAGGGAAGGAGGTAAGAAGAAAAGGATAGAAGGAAAAAATTAATTAACATGTGTTATAAACCTACTATATGTCCAACCCACCCCATCCCCCAAACCAGCTAACAAATATTTCTCACTTAATATACATAAAACAATGTAAGATTGCTGTTAATGCCCCAATTTTCAGAAGTGGAGACTAGAGTTCAGATAGGTTAAAACTCTCCCAAAGCCTGGATTCTAAGCCAGATCTACTAGTAATTCTCAAGTTCTGCTGCATTCTTTCTACTATCCCAACTTGCCTACACAGAACATTATGTAAGAAACATTTTTAGTGAGATATAATTCACAACCATCAGATTCAATTCAGAGTTTTCAGTATATTCACAAAATTATGAAGCTATCACTATTAAATAATTCCAGAACATTCCCATCACACCAAAAAGAAACCCCAAACCAAGTAGCAGTCACTTCCCATTCTCCCTTTACCCTGGCAACCATTTTCTGTCTACAAATGTTCCTATTCTGGAGATTTCATATAAGTGAATCATATAACATGTAGCCTTTTCTGTCTGGCTTCTTTGCTTAGCTTGTTTTCAAGGTTCATCCATGTTGTAGCATCTATCAGCACTTCATTTCTTTCTCTACTTGAATAATTTCCATTGGATGAAAATGCCACACTTTTTTATCTATGCAGAAGTTGGATATTTGGGTTGTTTCCACTTCTTGACTATTATGAATAATGCTCCTAAAACATTTATGTACAAGTTTTTGTGTGGGCGTGTGTTTTTAATTCTCTTGAGTATATATACACCTAGGAGTGGAGTTGCCATATAATAGTAACTCTATATTTAATTTTTTTTAAGAAATGCCAAACTGTTTTCCAAAGTGGCCTAATTATTATACATTCCCACCAACAGTCCATGAGGATTCCAATTTCACCATGTCCTGTCATTTCTAGCATAGCTCCCAGGAGGCTGTGGTTGGTATCTCTGTAATTTTGACTTATACTTTCCTAATGACTAATGATGTTGAGCATCTTTTCATGTATATATTGGCTATTTATATGTCTTCTCTGGACAAGTATTCAAATCATTTGCCTGTTTTTAAAGCTTTTTAATTTGAAGTAGTCACATTTGCTTATTTTTTCTTTGTTTCTCTTGGGATATTTGTCTTTTAATTGTTGAGTTGTAAGTATTCTTTATATATTCCAGATATTAGGTCCTAATCAAATATATGATTTGAAGATATTTTTTCCCATTATTTGGGTTGTCTGCACTTTCTTGGTAGTGTCCTTTGAAGAATAAAAGCTTTTAGTATTGATGAAATCCAACTTATCTATTTTTTCCTTTGGGTGCTTTTGCTTTAGGCATTATATCTATTAAACTGTTGCCTAATCCAACGCCATGAAAATGTATACCTATATTTTCTTCTAAGAGTTTTATAGTTTAAATTCTTACATTTAGGTCCTTGATCCATGTTGAGTTCATATGGTGTGAGGTAGAGACCAAATGTCATTCTTTTGTATGTGGATATCCAGTTGCCACCATTTGTTGCAAAGACTGTTCTTTCCCCCATCAAATTGTCCTGGTACCCTTTTGAAAATTCAATTGATCATAACTGTATGGGTTTAGAAGAACTTCTATGCAGATGGACATAGCCAATGGACACAGACAATAGGGGTGTAAAGGCCTGGGTTGGGGGGTGGAGGTGGGCTGGGAGAGGACAGTAGGGAGAAAAGGGGACATATGTAATACTTTCGACTATAGAGAATTTTTTTTTAAAGCAAGAAAAAAAATTGGTCTAACCAGGAGGCATAACCACTGGATTCTGAAGAATTGGGGTTTAAGTCCTTTCTCTGTCCATTTTCTAGATCTGTGACCTTGACAAGTTATTTAAATTCCCCAAGTTTCATTTCTTCCTCATTGAAATGTGGATAATACCACAGTACCTACCATCTGGCCGGGAGAGGGATGTGAAAATTAAGTAAGATGATATAAGTTCAATTCTTAGCACCATCTCTGCTCTTTGCATGTACTAAAATGCAGCTGTTTTCAATGTTACTATCAGGGTAAATGCTGTGGCTCTTGGGTTTTTTAATCAATGGATCACTATTTCTTACTATTATTTTCCCTTGACATAAAAGAGACATTGTAACAGTCACTGGGTGAAATATAGCCCAATCTGAAAACAAAAAAAAATAATAATAACAATAAACGAATGTATGGGTTTATTTCTGAGCTCTCAAACTCTATTACATTAATCTATACGTCTATCCTTATGCCAATACCATACTGTCTTGATTGCTATAGCTTTGTAGTAAGTTCTGAAATTGGTAAGTGTGAGTCCTCCAACTTATTTCTTGATGTGTTTTTTAAGATTATTTTGGCTATCCTGGGTCCCTTGTTATAGTTTTCAGTGTATAAGTCTTGCATGTCTTTGTTAAATTTATTTTAATATCCTCAAGTTTACTGATCTTTTTTTTTTTACCAGTTCTAACCATCAAAAGAGAAATATGAAAAAAACATGTTTTCTGATTTTATTTTTTTAGTAGTTGCCTTCTTTGGTGCTATGGATGAAAGTGTTAGGAGCAACATGGGCCAATGTTTTTCTTTCCAAATGAATTAATAAATCCAGAAACACGATGTTTTTAGTTGTATGCTAGTCACAAAATGAACTGGGATTGGAGACTTGTTCAATTAAGGAGAGTTGAAAATGGATATGCAACATTCCAGAAAAGATGGCTTTTGTGCCTGAGTTTCCTACTGGAGGAAGAGTGGAACTTCTGAGATATGTGATGATTACTCATCCCTAATTTCACTTTGCCAGCACTAAACCTTTCTCGGCAGCTTTCTTCAAGGTACTGAGGTGAATGAGATGCAAAGTAAATTCATGGTCAGTACATTCCCTTTCTTGAGCAAAACTGGAATTGATAAAGGATCATGGTGACAAATTCTAGAAGCCAGTTGACTTTAGGGAGCGGTGAGAGGGGAATTTGCATGTATGACCTCACCCAGAAACTCCAGCCCTGAAGCATATAAATAGGTGAGGTCTTACGCAGCTCCAGGCCCAGCAGTTTCCAGACAGATCTCGACCATGGCAGTCCTGGGCTCCACACTGCTGTCCCTGTGCTTCGGCACGCTGCTCATTTCTGCCAGCTCTGCAGATTACCCTGACAGATGCATGTCCTTCAGCACGGTCTTCCCCACCACCGGTCCAGGCATCAAGATCAATTCAAACATCTATGAAAGCAACAGAATCTACACAAGTAAGTAAGAGCCTTTCTCTCTGTTGTCTTTTTTCTCTAAGGGCAGTCTACCAGAATTTCAGAACATAACTCTCCATCTCTGCTCTCAACTACACGAAATATGCATTTCTGACCAGGATGGGAAGTGGGGGCAGAAAGAATGAGAACATGGGAGAGAGTGGGTTGGGTGGGGATGCTTCTGCATGTTCCCTGTGCCAAGCTGAGCAGCAAGGAGCCATTAAGTTCCAACGCCAACTGAGCCCCGGCAAGAGCACGCCCATGGCAAGTTCTGACTTAAAGTCGGCATGTTTATTATGTTAAGCGATACAGATTGCATCACAGTTATCTTTTCACATCCACTTGATGAAACAGTGCCCCTGTGGATGACTGTGTACTGCACAACTCCAGGAGGCGCTGTTCTCATTTAGTCCACATGTGAAAAGCCCAGTTCGCTAGACAGGGAATGTACTGCTCTCCCACCTTCTCTCTGAGGAGCCTGAAGCTGAGAGTTAAATGACTTGCTCAGGGTCTCACTGCTAGTGGCAGAACTGGCTGTTGAATCTTGTTCTTTTCGTTCCTAATCCAATGCTTTTCTTAGAAGTGCCTAGTAATATTTTACAAATATCCCTTTTGGGATCAGCCAAACCTACAAGTCAGGCAAATGCTGTCTAATTACTTTCATAGCAACATTCAATATAGTGGCTTACATGTATTTGTTCATGTAGCCCCCATAACCTATTAGGAAGAGACCACGGTCGTTCCTGTTTTGTAGATGAGGAGACAGAGGTAGAAATGCTAGTGACTTGCTCAGGTCACAGAGCTACTTGAGTGGTGAAGTTGGGACATGAACCTGAGCAGTCAGAGACTCTACCCTAACCACTACACATATGCCTTTCAGTTATAGTAATAAGAACTGATACTTCTTACTATGCAGTGGGTACTATTCTAAGGGCCAATACTGTTATCTTCCCATTTTACAGATGAGAACTGAGGCAGGTAAGTTAAAGTTTTACCCAAGATCACTAGTAACATAGCTAATATTTGAACCTAAATAACAGCGCAGCTTTGTGCAGCCAAGCTATCCAGCTTCAGAGCCTGTCCTCATCTACTGAGTTCTCCTGCCTCTCTTAGAACTCTAACCACATTTTGAAAGAATACCATGGTCCACAGATTCCGGGCGTCAGCAGGAAGATGCCTCTAGCCTGCCTTCGCACGCCCATGCCAGCTTGTGCTTCTATCTATTTTTTTCACGGGGACTGTCACCATAAATGCCTCAGTTGTGATAAGGCTCACTACGTCCTACTCGTTCAGGCAGTGGATCTTGTCCTACAGGCAGGGAGGACCATCTTGTAATCCAACATAAAAATAAGGAGGGCACGTGTGTGACCTTGTTTGTGGGAAAGGACCTGGGGGGCCAGAGGGACTACTAACTTGAGATGACACATCACAAGGTGAAGGATTTTGCTGTTAAAATGGAAGAAATAGGAACCTACCTTGTGAAGGTTGGGGTGCAGAGAGCCTTCTGAAAGTAGGAAGACAGGAGAAAGAAGAGTCAAAAGGTGATCAGTAAGATGCCTTACAAAGGAAAGGCCCCTTGGAAGGGACCATGCTGGCTGAAAGGGAAATCCTGGCGTCTACAACGGCAGTGGGCAGAGTAGGGGAAAGGGGAAGGGGAAGGGGTCTCAGGTTCGTTAAATGCCTACTACATGCCGTGTCCGTCCCCAGCCTCACCTATTTCACCACAATGTGCTGTAGTCCCGTGACGCGCTGACTGACTCACTGTAGGAATGATTTAAGTTGAGTCAAAATCCTGTGCCCTCAAGAGGTGTGAAGTGCCCGATTGCACATCTGGGTTACACCACAGTCTCCGGATTTCCTCGTAGAGTGTCACTGTGAGACAGCTGGTGAGACTGAGTAAATGCCCACACAAGCCCACTTCTTATTATTTTGAATTTGAAATTTTCTAAATTTCAGGGTTTGTGTCAACACTGGTTAGTCATGTACAAATGGCTTGACAGGTCCCAAGACACAGTGGCAGCTCAGGCAGTATCTTAGAACAAGTTCCCTGGGTCTGTCTCCATGTCATTGAAGGAAACCCATAAAGCAGTGACATTTATGTTAAGACTGGACCAGGTCAGCATCTGCCTCCATTTTTTACTTCTGTGGGCAAGAGGGATGTAACCTGCCTGCCTTTATTCCTGCATCTTCAGCTTTAAGGGCACTGACTGTACAACATGGGATGCACAGCTTGCTAAATCAATCAGTTATTAGAAGTTATTTACTGCCCTCCAGGTGCCCAGCACTGGGCTGGCCAGATACTGACATAGAGGAAACCACCGTATGTATTAAGCCAGAATGTAATTAAGTTAAAAAAAATAAGTGTTTCAGATGCGAGAGGGAAAGAAGGGTGAATTGGCCCGGAGGTGGGACATAGCAGGATCTTGGAGAGTAAATGGGAGTGAAATATGTGATGAGAACGAAGTAAGGATTCCACACAGACAGACAGAACAGAGACCAAGAGCAGGCGTGAGTCACGTGTGTCTGTGGAACCAGAGGAAGACTGGCTGCCCCGAGAGGGGGGTGCAAATAGCAGGGGGAGCTAGGTTATGAGTGTGATGAAAGCTACGTGCTGGGCACTGTACCCGACAGAACTGAAGCAGAATGTTTCGTGCTCTGGGCACTTTGAAGGTTTTGGAGAAGAGTGTCTCCAGATGGGAGTGTTGTGTGTGGAAGTCTGATCTGGCCACAGCCTGAGTAAATGGCTAAATGTGGAGGAGAAAGTGGAGACCAGAAATTCAAATAATACAGATGCCTAGGAGAGAAGAAAGGAGGATATGAGCCAGAGTGAGGGAGGGAAAGCAGAAGAGAAGACAGAGGCAAGAACATGCCCGAGGGGGAGCCAACAGACTTGACAACCACCTGGATGACACACGCCATGGCTTGCCACATCACCATCACGCACACATCTAGGACAAATATCAGGTTCTCACTGAGCAAGTAAGGGCCCATAGGGTCTGGCTCCACCCACCTTAATTGGCAATAGCAAAGAAATAGAACAGAGAAGTGCATTGCGCTAAAAAAAAAAATTGTTTAACACACTGTGTATTAAAGTCTTTGCATGATCTTGTTACTCCTCCCAGGAACATTTCTCTTTTTTAAAATATATTTTTATTGATTTCAGAGAGGAAGAGAGAGGGAGAGGGAGATAGAAACATCAATGATGAGAGAGAATCATTGATTGGCTGCCTCCCGCATGCCCCCTACTGGGAATTGAGCCTGCAACCCGGGCATGTGCCCTGATCAGGAATTGAACCATGACCTCCTGGTTCATAGGTTGATGCTCAACCACTGAGCCACGCCAGCCGGGCTCCTCCCAGGAACCTTTCAAAATAAGGTGTCATGATCTCCATATAATAAAGGATAATGTCATTATCTCCAGACCTAGAACCGGGCTTGTGCAAAGTTGGAATTCAACAAATATTTATGGAGTGAATAATGAAGAATAAGGGAACTGAGTCTCAGAGGTGAAACGACTTGTTAGAGCTGGAATTCAGAACCAGCACGGTCGCATCCTATTGTGCTACCTGACCCATTTTCTTTGGTTTGTGAAGGAGAAGTCCTTGAAGGAATTCTTGATGTCTGAAAGGGCCCTGGAGAACACCTTAGCGTTGAGGAATTCATTCAAAAGGGACCTTCTAAAGGAGAAAACGAACCCACCAAAATGTTCTCTTAAAACTCTCTCCCCATTACACATCAGAATGCTGGAATTAACAAGTGTCGGTGGGGTCTCCTGTGAATGCATGCTAAGCTAGGTCAAAAGAGATTCACCTGAGTGAAAGTTAGGGACTCTGAGGGGTCATTTAACAGGTGCCTGGATTAGGGCCCCAGGGGCTCAGAGGGCCCCTCCCTCACCCTCATCAACAGACACCGAGAGCTTCGGCATGTCTAAGACTAGGAAGTGGGCTCTGCTCTAATTTGGAATAACATTCCTGATTTTCCAGGAACACTTCCTGGGGCCCACATGACCCTGTCACATGCACCAACCCTGCTCTGCCCACATCCCACTCCCCTGAAAGAAGGACAGAGCATCTTTATCTCTCATCTGACAGATGAGAACCAGGCTCCAGAAGTTAGGAGCCTGCCTCAAATCTCACCCCTGGAAGGTAGCAAAACTCTCCTTTTGTCTAGCTCTTGGCCATGGAAAATTTAGAAAACACAAATAAAATCATCTGTAATCCCACTACCCAGAAATGACCACAGTTACTATCTCGATGGCTTTCCTTCCAGATGTTTTTCAACTTTTACAAAAATACTACATGTACATGCTATTTGTAATTTTCTTTTTTCAGTTAATTTTGATTTCATGACCCTCATCCCTTGTCTTACTACATAGATGGCTGATTGTCTCCTTATCATTTCTTCTCAGTATCGGTGCCTGTGGACAGCAGCACCAACTCAGTGGTCCTGCGAGCGATGGACACAAACAACAACAGCTCAATAGGCCTCTGGCAAAGAGCAGACCATTATTGCAACGGCAGCGTCCTCTATCAGCGTCTGGACACACGTGAAGGTTTCTTCAAGGCCAACTGGCAATCTCCTCGTTTCACGAACATTACAGTGGAGATACAGTAAGAACCTACCTATATATGATTTGCTTGGGCTTTTACAGTTTAATGTTAGGTTTATGCAGTTTTACAGTTAAGTCAATGATCTTGAAGGACACAAAATACAATACAGAGATGATGTGGAGAAGTCAGTACTTGCACTCCTTTTCTGCCTTACCGTTCTTTGTCCTACTTTTATCTATAGTTCACACACACACACACACACACACACACACACACACACACACACACCAGTGCTCAACATAAATAGAAAGAACTGGTGGTAAAGAAAACCAGAGCTGGACAGTGGTTAAAGCAAAATGAATGAATGAATGAATGAAATGAATACATACATACATAAATAATGCATATATAAATAAAGATTTTATTCAGGACTACTGCAATAGGAGAAAAGAGACCTCAGTATAGAACCAGGCTCAATTCTGAATACAACATGAGCAAGTGGAAATTTATAGCAGAGAGGGGTCAGTGGATGGAAAGTTCCTGAGAGGAAACATCAAGGCCTATAGGGGGATTCTGGCTAAACTGACCTAACAGGATTGTTGCTGAAGGCAAGCCCAGGTGATCAGATATCATGTGGGGATGGCAGCAAATGAGGAACTCAATCAGACATTGAGGGTTATCAGATATCCAGGTAAGAGGTTCTTGCTAAACAGACTTAGCAGCCTTCTTGATAAAGCTGGATTTTACAAGCAAGTGCAGAGATGGGCCAGGAGGAGGTGCTGGAGCCTGAGTGAAGGAAGGCAAGCAGAGAATCTCTGTCACTGGCACCCTGTTTGCTTCAGATTCTCTATACTCAAACTGGAGGGTCATTTTTCAAAACACAGATTCATTTTAGAAATGGCTTCTAACAGAAAGTGTGCTGATTGTGTAATAACTCGCCTCCTCGTGTCACACCAAATGGGCACAGACTCCTTCGGAGGTGCGCCAACCGGAGGTCCGCCAACCGGAGGTGCGTTAACAAAAACCTTCCTCGCAGCCAGGGATGGCTACCAAGCTCACTTCAGAAACCCAGTGCTGAGAGTCCTGGCGGTCCTGGACTGCCATTCTGTGCTGAAAGGACAAGTCTGTCCAGCAGGTCGTGTCCAGTGTGAACAGCCACCGAGGCTCCATGGGGCATGGTGGTGAGGATGCTACCACGCCATCCCACCTCACCGCCATCCCACCTCACCTGCCACCATCTCACCTCACCACCATCATCCCACCTCACTATCATCCCACCTTACCTGCCACCATCCCACCTCACTACCATCCCACCTCACCACCATCCCACCTCACCACCATCTCACCTCACCACCATCCCACCTCACCGCCATCCCACCTCACCGCCATCCCACCTCACCACCATCCCACCTCACCACCATCTCACCTCACCACCATCCCACCTCACCGCCATCCCACCTCACCGCCATCCCACCTCACCGCCATCCCACCTCACCGCCATCCCACCTCACCGCCATCCCACCTCACCTGCCCTGCCCTTGGACCTCGCTGGCTCCCACAGAGCTACTTGGGAATCCTGAAGGAGCTCCGACAATCCAGCCTTGCCTGAGCGCTGTCCCTTAGAGGCCAGGCCAGGCTAATTAAGACAATGGTCCCTTCATCTCTCCTCGCTAAAGCCTCCGCACTCCGTGCAACAACAGATAAAAGACAAAGCAGTGACACTCTGCAATAGAAGCAGCACGTTCCCGCCGACAGTGCGGTCTCCAGACCTTCCTGACTCGCGCGGCTGGGATGCACTGGCATTGCTGCTTGTTGGCAAATGTACACACACGGCCTCGATCAGCAAAGCGACAAAAGGGAGGGGGAGCAGCACAGCCCTGTGAGGGGTCCACTGTGCTGGGCAGGGCCACAGAAGCGAAGGGAAGAGGTCCCTGGCCAGGGAGCTTTGCTTACAGTAAGGTTTGGTGAAGGCAAGGCCTGTACAGAAGTGATTACTGAGGTTAAACATCACTTGCTCAAGAAAGCGTCCCTAAGCTCCCGGATAAGTTCCAGAGCCTTTTCCACTCTCTCAACTTCCACTACTTTGTCAGTGCATATGTCACCACTGTGATCAATTACTTAATCTGTTAGTTGATTATTCATTTAAAATCTGTCTCTCTGAAGGGACTTTGAGCACCACAAGGGTAAGACCATGCCTAACTGATTCACTACTGCCCCTCAGCACCATGCACAGTGATTGGCATGTTGTACACTCTCGTTAATTAACTGTCGAATGTGTGAACAAGAGGCTGATATAATAATGGACCCACTAATAGAAGAACAACAGACCAAGCTCTACAGATCATTTCATGAACATTAGGCACCTACTATGTGTCAATCATTGTTGACAACAGAACCTGCTCTCAAAGAGCTGGGCCTCTAGTGGGGGGAGAGGCTCACAGCAGGACAATGCATAGAGGGGCCCGTCCCTCTGATGGAGATCTGTCTGGGTTAAGGGTAACAGGGAAAACAGCTTCATAGAGTTACTGCTACATCCGTGGGCAGACATGGTCTGGATGGACATCACAGGCAGAAGGACTGGCTTGAACAAAGACTAAAGGTTATACCAGACTATGGGGAGTTTAGGGGGGTGAAGTTGGTGGGGGGGGGGGTAGACATGATCTTCTCTGAAGCAAGAACATGGATCTTAGTTAAGACAATACAGAGGCCCTAGCCAAGTAGCTCAGTTAGTTAGAACGTCATCCCGATAGGACAAGGTCAGGCTACATACAGAAGGCAACCAATGAATGCATGGATAGGTGGAATAAGAAGTCGATGTTTCTATCACTCTCTCTCTCAAATCAATCAATCAATAAATAAATTTTTAATTAAAAGAAAAAAAGACAATATAGAGCAGACCAGTATTCAATGATCTGTAGGGAAAGTAAGCACAAAAGGAATTAAGAGGTTGGGGTCATCTGGGAAGGCAGAAATGTGAGCTGAACTTTGGACTCCACGGCTGAGGTCCTCACCATTATCTTTCATTGATTTGCCCCCCACAGAGCCTTTGTTATCAATGTCAACAGAGTGGCCACGTTTTCTTCTCTGAAACTGAAAAACCAAGGTAAGTTCCTTTGCAGCCCCTTTACATATCTGGCAGTGAACACAGTCAGCATGAAAGTTACTTTGTGGGGCCCTGGAAAAGTCTTCTAGTCGGGTGTTACCCAGATATCAGTTGAGCCTGCTAGCACCTTGAGACCTACATAAGATTGGCTCAACCCTTTTTCCTCTGCCCCATAGAAAACAAAAGCCATCCCCAAGATTTCTGACAATTCCTAGGGGCCTTATGTTCTCAGAGTCACCTGTGACTGCAGAATCCTGCTTCCTCAGGACCCATTCCTGTTCAGCACCACGTAGACACCACGTAGTCAGCCCCTTCCTTAGTTTCCACCAAGACTTCCCACTCACATAAAACCTTCACAGTTCTACAGGCTTTACAGGAATGAGGGGGCAGATGTGCACAAAAACAGGTTGACAGCATCAGAATAACAAACATTCATTCATTCTCAGAATGGCCTTGGCCACCACCACTACCACCAGGAATTTCCACTGCCCTTCCACTGGGTGTGGTCCTCAACCTCAAACCATCCTGAGGCTTTTCGCCCTCCTTCCCCCTCTCTGTCCCCTGCGTTCTCTCACTCCCCTCTGGGGAGCTAAAACAAATTCAAAAAATTGAGGTTCAGAAAGTAAATGGAAAAACCAGGGCTCATATCCCACCTCATACTTTTTACACTTTTCTTAGACTTACATCAAAACTATAAAGACAATCCCTTTTTTAAATGAAGCTTTTAAATACAAGGTTCAACTAAGAACAAGGACCATCAGCCTCTCTAGTGTCCAGATAACTAGTCTTCCTCGGGATCCCCCTGCTGGTTACTCACCCGTCATATGCTGCAAATGCGGTCAAAGGGATATCCATTTTCAAAACAAATTTTGATGTGATTATGCCTAACAAACTACTATAAGAAAGCCTTACCTGTTGCCTTGGTGGTTTCCCCTCTGTGAGAAGACTGGGTGTTATTTGCTTCCTCGAGGACATTTTTGAGATGAGTATGAGTGTAAATGCTAAGAAGGAGAGAAAAAAAGTGTGTTTCTAGTCAGGACTCCTTATCTCCATGCTACTAAAATCCAGTTAAAAAAAATAAAGTGGTTGTGTCAGACTTTCTGGCTCAGTGAGATGCTGGAGAAACATGTGCCCTGGGTAAATACTAAGTGAGATAAGACAAGGCCACAGACTCACAGGCCCCTCCAGGTAGCAGAAGAATGCATGGGCCTAAGCAAATCACTGGACATGTCCCGTCTTCTTCTTTATTGTTTTAATGTATTTTTATTGATTTCAGAGAGGAAGGGAGAGGGAGAGAGAAAGAGAAACATCAATGATGAGAGAGAGTCACTGATTGTCTGACTCCTGCATGCCCTTCACTGGGGAATCAAGCCCACAACCGGAGCATGGGCCCTGACTAGGAATCAAACCATGACCTCTACGACTGAGCAGCACAGGTCGGGCTGTCACTTCTTCTCTATAGTCCCCTCTGTGGTCCACTCAGACCTTTGCAGGTATCATTGCCAAACTCTAGTTTTTCCAGGATCAGACATCCCGTTCTCCCCACCCCCAGGGCTACAGGCCTGGCTTTTTCTGCTTCTCAGCAAGGCAACCTCAGAGAACCAGTGTGTGGTCAGATCCCTGCACAGGGAATGGCCGGTGCCTCAGCAACCACAGAAAGAGGTTCAGGGGTTTGGACAGCACTTCTTTCCATTTACTTTAAAGCAGGAGTAGCCATCCGAAGGTCTGATGGTCACTAGTTTTTACAGGCTTTACATGTAACCATTGAAATTAGCAACAAAAAATAAAATTGTGCCATTCTGGATCATATTTGCACTGATGGATCTAATACAATATTAAGGACACTTGAGGGTCGACAACTTACCCGACAACAAATTCAGTAGTTATGTAAGTTCCTTCCCCTGTGGGACTACATAGACCTTAGCGGTAGATAGTGTTCTTTCGCTCCATGACATTCTGTGCGTCATAGCTTTCCCTTCCGCTACATACACTTGGCCCTTGAGATGTGCTGATTGAATTCTGCTCATGAACTCTGCTCCAGCGTCGCATCAGATTAGCCTCATTTTCCAACGTAGGTTCTGATGTCCTTTTTTTCCCCAGCAATGATCACAACATCACCCTCCATGACCTCCATGACTTCCATGACCTCCATGACCTCCATGACCTCCATGACCAGGCCGACCACAACCCGAAGCCCAACGACAAACCGATTCCCAACCACAGCCAAAACCGCAACCTCAACTCTAACCACAACCAAAAGCTTCGCCAACAGAATCTTCCTCAGCCCCATCACAGATGCCATCCAGATCCTGCTTGTCTTCCTCACCAGCAAACTCCTCTTCTAAAAGTTGTTCCTGCCTCTGCTACATCCTCCTGCGTTCAGTTCCAAGCCAGGGCTCCGTCATGTGTGTGAATGAAGGCCTCATGTTCTCAAATGTACAGCTCTCCTGCCACTGCTTTGGACCAAAGAGGAGACTTGGTTGAGAGTAGCCAGTTCACTCACTGGTGGACTTGGGGCACATAGATGTTCAACTAAATCTTTCAGGCTTTTTGTAACTACTTAGAGCTGGTCTGGGAGTAACCTGGAATTCTGGCTGTAGGTTTAACATGTTGACAGCCAATTCCATCGCCAGTCTAAACGTTTGATCATTGCCAAATGATTCCCCTGAGTCTCTGTGGAAAGAACCTTTCCTCACTTTCAAGATGATCTTCGCTTTCTGACCAAACCCACCCAGGTAACAGAGTGTGTTGACTCATGTGACTCCACAGGAAAGGAGAAACAACCCTCATTCTGCTGGCAACACCAGTAGCATTAGAAGGGCAAGGAAACAGGAATGTATCCTGTCTGAGCAGCCAAAAACAGGGACAGATTATGGGATAAAGGCATTATTTTCCGTCATACCAAAAAAACTATATCCCAACAAGAACAATGTGTTAAATTCAAATTCTTTAATAAGTGATTACCTTGAAATACAGAGAATGTTATCTAATTTTATTCATTTGTGCAAACATTAAAAAATTAATAAAATGATGAGAGTATGTATGTTTTCAAAGCCAGATCTACGGGTAAAATTTTCTCAATTTTAATATTCCTCAAGTGCAAACTGGTCATTTTTCCCCTAACAGTGTTGTCCGCTAGGAGAAATGGGCAAAATACTTATAATATTCACAATACAATGTGAAGCCAAAAGAAAGCATGGTATTTCCAGAAACAGCCAACAAAGTTTTCTTTTAGTGATTATGTTAAGTTCCAGCATGCCAACATCTAGTGACTGGCCTTTCTCAAGAACAGTTCCTTTTCAAATTCCTCCTTTTTTCCCTGTGAGGAGGGCCATTACTTTCCTATTTCGAAGGTCTTTATATTTTTTGAAAACTGGGACGTTTTTAAATATTATATTGCAGTGACTCTGGGTATCTGATTCTCCCCTTCTCTCCATGGTTGCTGCTTGTTGAGTCATCCATCTGTTCCGTGACTTTTCCAAACGACTTCTGCAAAGACTGCCTTCTTGTGTGGTCACCAGTCTCTCTCCTGCTGTCGCAGCAGTCAGCCAGTGACCGGCAGGTTTTAAGTGTCAAATTTGACAGCCTTTCTTCATTAAGCATTCCCCAGAAGATGTGAGGTTAGTTTTTTGGTGTGTTTGGGGTTTTTTTAAAAATTAAATTCTAGATATTAACGGCAGTGAGTCCTGAGCCTGCGGGCTAGGAACAAGTTTCATATTTAACGTTCACGGTCCAACCTGGCCCCCATCCCAGTTTCAGTGTGGGAGGTGTGACAAATATCCAGCAAAGATGCTCTCTGAAGCTGGGAAACTTTTAGACTCGAAGAAACCTGGGTGAATTCAGAGGAGCTGAGCAAGGGGGCTGGCCCAGCAGGCAGGACGCCTGTAAAGTCTACTTCTGCTGCGAGTAGAAAGGGAACCTTTAACAAGTGGCGCCACAGTCTCCCACCCTTGGTTTTCTCATCTGTAGGTAAGAGGTATCTGCATCTCTCAGTTTTTATTTCTCTGTCATAGCCAGACGCCATTGGTAAGGTCTAGTCAGAGACGGTAAGAAGGCGTGATCTTACGCTGTATCTGACTGACTGACAAAGGCTGCCAGGAGCACTGTTAAGGAGGATTCTGGAGCGAAATCCAGGCTCAGAAATAGAGTGTTGTGCTCAACAGGAGATCTCCTCCGTGAGCTCAGGAGATATGAATTAAAGCAGCACAGCCTCCAGGTGGCTGGCCTTCCTGGTCACTCCTTAAGCAGCTGGGATAGCGGAATAAGAGGACGGGCTACAGAAATCCACACGTTCTCACTCTCAGGAATAGCTAATCCTGATCCTCATCTTTGTAATCAACCTCCCGATCCTGATAGGAAACTGTGATACACCAACAGGAAAAGAACACACACAAGCAACTGCAAGGAAGCCCACAGGAAGCACAGTAAAAAGAGATGAACAATAGGTGGACTGTTCATCACTCCCACACTCACTTGCCCAACCTTGTTCTTCTACTTTTCTTGCTTGTAGCATCATGCTTTGTAAATTCAGTGCATTTTCATTCTGTGGTAGAAACAGCAACTGCCTGCCCAGCATAACGCACTTTAGAAAGTAGGAAAGAAAACTGATGCCTTGCGAATCCCATGACCTCAAAAACCTTCACAGAAAGAGTCCCAACCTGGTCAATGACCAACTGTAACACCAGCCATTCCGAAGAGGCAGCAAATTTAGACCAGTATTGTACCTTTGGTCTGGCCAACCACCCACTTTACCTCTGTAAAAGTAGGATGTTTGAAAAATATTTAATAATGAAAGTAAAGCTTTTATTATATTTCCTTAAGAGCTTTAGATTTAGGCACATTTGTCCTTTAA